GTCTGTCCCTCTCCCTGTGTGTGCGGTCTGTCCCTCTGTGTGCGGTCTGTCCCTGTATGTGCGGTCTGTCCCTCTGTGTGCGGTCTGTCCCTCTGTGTGCGGTCTGTCCCTCTGTGTGCGGTCTGTCCCTCTGTGTGCGGTCTGTCCCTCTCCCTGTGTGTGCGGTCTGTCCCTCTGTGTGCGGTCTGTCCCTGTGTGTGCGGTCTGTCCCTCTGTGTGCGGTCTGTCCCTCTGTGTGCGGTCTGTCCCTCTGTGTGCGGTCTGTCCCTCTCCCTGTGTGTGCGGTCTGTCCCTCTGTGTGCGGTCTGTCCCTGTGTGTGCGGTCTGTCCCTCTCCCTCTGTGTGCGGTCTGTCCCTCTGTGTGCGGTCTGTCCCTCTCCCTGTGTGTGCGGTCTGTCCCTCTGTGTGCGGTCTGTCCCTCTGTGTGCGGTCTGTCCCTCTGTGTGCGGTCTGTCCCTCTCCCTGTGTGTGCGGTCTGTCCCTCTGTGTGCGGTCTGTCCCTCTCCCTGTGTGTGCGGTCTGTCCCTCTCCCTCTGTGTGCGGTCTGTCCCTCTGTGTGCGGTCTGTCCCTCTCCCTGTGTGTGCGGTCTGTCCCTCTCCCTCTGTGTGCGGTCTGTCCCTCTCCCTGTGTGTGCGGTCTGTCCCTCTGTGTGCGGTCTGTCCCTCTCCCTGTGTGTGCGGTCTGTCCCTGTGTGTGCGGTCTGTCCCTCTCCCTCTGTGTGCGGTCTGTCCCTCTGTGTGCGGTCTGTCCCTCTGTGTGCGGTCTGTCCCTGTGTGTGCGGTCTGTCCCTCTCCCTCTGTGTGCGGTCTGTCCCTCTGTGTGCGGTCTGTCCCTCTCCCTGTGTGTGCGGTCTGTCCCTCTCCCTCTGTGCCAAGCCCCCTCGGGTGGTTTGATGGGGCACGGCCTCCTGTTCTCACTGGAGTTCTCTCCTCTCGGGGACATCGCAGACCCCTGGCCCTCCTGTCGCTCGTCCCCGCCAGGCTCGTCTCCCTTCCCTCTGCCCCCGTGCTGTCCTCCTCCGCCTTCGCCCACGCCCGGCCCCAGACCCTCTCCTCTGACCGCCCGTCACCCCGGCCTCCACAGGCGACACCGGCGAGATCAAGTCAGAGGTCCGAGAGCAGATCAACGCCAAGGTGGCCGAGTGGCGCGAGGAGGGCAAGGCGGAGATCATCCCCGGGGTGGGTGCCGCGTGGTGCTGGGGGGGGGGGCAGGGGGACCGGAGGCCCGGGTGGGGCGGCTCCCGGAGGTCATCCCGGGGAGGGTGCCGGCGTGGCGCTGGGGGGGAGGGGCAGAGGGGGGCAGGGGGACCGGAGGCCCCGGTGGGGCGGCTCCCGGAGGTCATCCCCGGGGAGGGTGCTGGCGTGGGGCTGGGGGGGAGGGGCAGAGGGGGGCAGGGGACCGGAGGCCCGGGTGGGGCGGCTCCCGGAGGTCATCCCGGGGAGGGTGCCGGTGTGGCGCTGGGGGGGGGGGGCAGGGGGGGGCAGGGGGACCGGAGGCCCCGGTGGGGCGGCTCCCGGAGGTCATCCCGGGGAGGGTGCGGCGTGGTGCGGGGAGGGTGCGGGGGGCGCAGGGGGACCGGAGGCCCCGGTGCGGAGCCTGACGCCCGCGGCCCCAGGTGCTGTTCATCGATGAGGTCCACATGCTGGACATCGAGAGCTTCTCCTTCCTCAACCGGGCGCTGGAGAGCGACATGGCGCCCGTGCTCATCATGGCCACCAACCGCGGCATCACCCGGTGAGCGCTCCGGGCGGGGAGGGGCGCTCCGGGCGGGGAGGGGAGGGGCGCTCCGGGCGGGGGGGGGGGGGAGGGGAGGGGCGCTCCGGGCGGGGGGGGGCGCTCCCGGGGGGGGGGAGGGGAGGGGCGCTCTGGGGGGGAGGGGAGGGGAGAGGGGCTGGGGGAGAGGAGAGGCGCTGGGGGAGGGGAGGGAGGGGAGGGGCGAGGAGCTCCGGGCGGGCGGGCGGGGGTGGGGGTGGGGGGGGAGAGGCGCTCCGGGCGGGCAGGGAGGGCACAGCGGGGAGGGGAGGGCTGAGCTGCTGTGACGGTTCCCACTGGCATCGGGGCCCAGGCCAGAGGGTGAGCCTTTCCCTTAAACAAGGTGCGGGTGGCCTGGCCGGTGTGGCTCAGTGGTTAAGCATCAACCTATGAACCAGGAGGTGAGGGTTCGATTCCTGGTCAGGGCACAGGCCCAGGTTGCGGGCTCGATCCCCAGTGTGGGTGCAGGAGGCAGCCAGTCAGTGGTTCTTTCTCCCTCTCCCTTCCTCTCTGAAATGAATAAAAACATATTTAAGTGAAAGAACAAACGAGTGGTCAGGTGGGTCGGCGGCTCCGATCCAGAGGGAGCCCGGGTCGGTTTTCTGTTGCTCCTTATCCCTAAGGCTATGGTTTCTCAGTCTGTGTGCCCCGGCACCCCGGCTCTGATCAGACACAGGATCCTGTGGGGCAGCTTCCCTCCTGAGGGGCGCAGTAGCGTGTGCTGGACACTGCGGGGCGCTACCGGAGCTCAGCCAGACCCAGTGCTTAGTCAGTGAAGCGTGTCTGTCGGCCTGAGGAGCTGGGACCCGTCACGGAGCCCCGGTGAAGCTTGGGAGCCTCCGTCCCAGGGGCCCAGCCCCGTGCCCTCTCGTCCTCCCGGCCGGCTCTCCACCCCTCGGCTGTGGTTTGGCCCCGAGGAGGAGAAGGAAGTGGGGAGCAGACAGCCCCCCGGGGCTGGAGCCCGGAGGCTGCACGCTCAGGGCGGCTGTGCCTGGTGCCCGGGCGGCGGGCAGTGCCAGCTCTGCCCCGAGGGCTGGGTGTCACAGGGAGGGAGGGCCAGGGCTCCGGGCAGCGCGGACTCTCCCCTGGCCCCGATTTTTTTTTTTACAGAGAGGAAGGGAGAGGGATAGAGTTAGAAACATTGATGAGAGGGAAACATCGATCAGCTGCCTCCTGCACACCCCCCACTGGGGATGTGCCCGCAACCAAGGTACATGCCCTTGACCGGAATCGAACCCGGGACCCTTCAGTCCCCAGGCCGACGCTCTATCCACTGAGCCATGTTGGTGGTGGTTTTGCTGCTGCAGAGGCTGGGGGCTCAGTCCCAGAGGAAACGCACGTCACGTGAAGGGATTAAGTCCCGGGTGACAGTGCGGCCACACGAGTTCAGAGCACAGAAAGCTGTCTTCAAACCACACAGGAAGCCAGGCGATGCGTTGGCTGGTGGGCAAATGGCCTCCAGAGGCTCCCAGGGGCCGGGTTCAGTTTGGTGGCTGAGTGTTGGCCCCGGTGCACAGAGCGTAGCTCTCACCGACGGGGAACCTCCCGTCCTCCCGGCGCCCGCAGTGCCGCCGGGCTGGGCGGTGCACAGGGGCAGGACCGGGAGGGGCCCTCGGCCAGGGATCCCGGCAGAGGGCAGAGCCGTCGCTGAGACCGTCCAGCAGGATTGACGCAGTCGGCTCTGACGCCAGCTGGGGCTGAAGGCTACGTGGTGTTTGGCCCAGAGGGTGGGCTGTGCTGGGGGAGGGGAGTCCGAGTGGAAGGAATGGAGAGCCAGGCTCGGGGGGCATCACCCTGACAGCCTCCTCCCCCTCAGGATCCGGGGGACCAGCTACCGGAGCCCCCACGGCATCCCCATCGACCTGCTGGACCGGCTGCTCATCGTCTCCACCTCCCCCTACAGCGAGAAAGGACACGAAGCAGATCCTCCGCATCCGGTGTGGGGCGGGGGCGGGGATCTCCGGGGACCCTGAGATGGGGGGGGCGGGGCGGGGGCGGGGCCCTGACCCCGGGGACCCTGAGATGGGGGGGGGCTGACACCGGGGACCCTGAGATCGGGGGGGGGGGGGGGGGGGGGGGGGGGGGGGGGGGCTGACACCGGGGACCCTGAGATCTGGGGGGAGAGGGGGTGACGGGCCTGAAAGCGTGGGCGTGGCCTCCGCTGCCGGTGGGGGCCCTGTGGGGAGGGGGGGGGGTAACTGACGGGAGGAAAGAGCCTGTAAGGGGAGGGGGGAGGGGGAGGCCCAGCATGTGCCTCAGTGGCCCTTGCCCAGCGCTCTGCGGTTCTGAAGATGCAGATTCCACATTTTCTCAGGGAGGGATGGGGGGCTGGGGCGTGCTGCGTCCCAGGCCTGACCTTGTCCGACCCGCCCCCGCCGCCCGCAGGTGTGAGGAGGAGGATGTGGAGATGAGCGAGGACGCCTACACGGTGCTGACCCGCATCGGGCTGGAGACCTCCCTGCGCTACGCCATCCAGCTCATCACGGCCGCCAGCCTGGTGTGCCGCAAGCGCAAGGTCAGCGCCGCCCGGGGCCGGCGAGACCCGCCCCCCAGGGCTCGGCCGGGGCTGCCTTTGGGCCTAGAACGGAGTCCTCAGAGGCAGGGGGCTCTGTCCTGGGTTTGTTTCTGTGCCTCCGGGCCGGACACAGTGGGCACTCAGTAAACTCCTTTAGGTGAGAGTAGATACTGGGAAGCCCGTCTCACGGATGAAGGAATGGAGATGGGGCTCAGCCAGGAGCTGGCGGAGGCAGTATTTGAACCAGGCGATGGGCCTGAGCCCCACCTGGGAGGGCCCCTGAGTTCTCCCTCGCCCCCCCCCCAGGGCACGGAGGTGCAGGTGGACGACATCAAGCGGGTCTACTCGCTCTTCCTGGACGAGTCGCGCTCCACGCAGTACATGAAGGAGTACCAGGACGCCTTCCTCTTCAATGAGCTCAGTGGGTGTCTCCCCTCCCGGCCCCCCGGCCCAGCCCGCCCCCCAGGCCTGTCCGGAGAGCTGGGAGGGAGCGGGCCTGGCTCTGGGCTGCAGTGACCACGTGACCTTCTTCCCCTACAGAAGGCGAGACGATGGACACCTCCTGAGCTGACGTTCCCCGTCCGTGTCCGTCTCCCCCCTGCCCCGTTTTCTACCAGGTTCTGACACTGTGACTTTGTATAAAATGCTCTGAAACTGGACCGTGTGTGTGTGTGTGGTGTGCGCTCACGTGCACTGCCCCCGGACCCCAGAGAAAGGCAGCCCAGGGCGGTGTGAGGCCTTTATTGGGGGTGCGGGTGGGGGTGCGGGTGGGGGTGGGGGTGCGGGGGCATCCTCAGAGGAAGAGGAGGTCTGGGAGGGTGGGCCGGTCACAGGCCAAGGGCTGGGCTCTGGGCCCCCCGCAGTCGGAGCTGCTGAGGCGGCAGGGCCCACAGCGGCAGCTGAGGGCCACAGGGAAGGAGACCACCGGGTCCACGCCAGGCGGGCAGCCGGGGAGCCGGATGGAGGCAAAGCTCAGCTCGCGGTAGGTGCACACCGGCTGGGGCACCGGCGGCAGCGGGGCCGGCAGCACCCGCACCTGGAGGCAGTGCGGAGGGGGGTGGCATGGCGTCTGCCCAGAGCCAAGCCCCCCCCCCCCCCCCCCCCCGGTCTCCCCTGTGCCCCCCACAAATCGAGGGTACCCTCTGCGCTCCCCCTCCCACACGCCCAGCCCCGCCAGCCGCCCCGCCGCCCCCCCGCCCTCCCGCCCCGCCGCCCTCCCGCATCCGCCCCCCGCCCCCCCGCCCCCCGCCCGCCGCCTCCCGCCCCCCCCGCCCCCCCGCCCCCGCCCTCCCGCCCCGCCGCCCTCCCGCCCCCCTGCCCCGCCCGCCCTCCCGCCCCCCGCCCCGCCCTCCCGCCCCGCCTCCCGCCCTCCCGCCCCCGCCGCCCCCCCGCACCTCCCGCCCGCCGCCAGCCGCCCTCCCGCCCCCCGCCCCCCCCCCCCCCCCCCCGCCGCCGCCCCCCCGCCCTCCCGCCCCCCCCCCGCCCCCCCCGCCCCCCCGCCCCCCCGCCCCGCCCCGCCTCCGGGCCAGGCTGAGCGGTCCCTGCTCACCATGCTGGGGCAGTAGCCGGCGCAGATGCTGGTGGTGAAGGCGATGCAGACCGGACAGGCCTCCTTCTCGGCAGCCAGCGTGGCATTGACGGGCCGGCACAGTGGCCGCAGCGGCCCCCTGGATGCCCGCACCGCCCCCACGCTCAGCAGCAGCCACAGCAGCAGCCCCTGGGATCAGGCCATTTCCTCAGGGCCAGCCCCTCCATCCTGACCCCCACCCCATACCCAGGGGCCCCGGGACCCACCCTCAGACCCCGCCCCACTGCTGCCAGCAGGAAGCCCGCTGGCTGTCCACACCCTTCTGGAAAGAGGCCGCCTTCACCCAGTCCCAGGCCTCCCAGCTTTACCTGGAGCATCTCCATCCTGGGTGCCTCCCTACCGTGTTTACCTGGTCTTATACCCGCAGGCTGTGGGGGCGGCAAGGCCAGGGGTGGCGGCATGGCTGAGTAACCTGGACACTAATCTCCTCGGGGGCGAGAGGCAGATAAGGTCAGGGATGTGCGGGAGTGGCTGAGTGAGCACCCTCCCCCCTTCCCTGCTGGCTTGGCGCCAAGAAGCAGGAGACACTCAAGATGACAGCGGACTTTACAGACTCCATCCTTAGCGTGCTGGGGCAGGGAGGAGGGGTAGGGAGCCCGTGGTTGTGCAGCCCGGTCTGCCCATTATAGGGGAGTGGGAGGAGGGGTCTGGAGCTCGCCCCTCCAGCGCCCCTGCAATGGGGATGGCGGGGGGCCTCAGCCCTGCTCCCCCTGCCATGGACTGAAAGCCAGAACCCAAACTTAGGAGGGGCTTGGCTCCGAGTTGCCTGCTGTGCTCAGGAAGCGGGGCCGCCTGCTCCCAGATACCCGCCCCCCCAGGATTCAGGGGGAGCGCCTTCCCCCCCACACACCGGCCCCCAGAAACCAGGATGCAGAGCCCAACCCAGCAAAGAGCCAAGTGTAGACTATTTCACCGTCATTGATTCAGAGGAGCTCGGCCCCTCCTGCCCGCGGGCCCACAGCCCCGAGTTCATGCCCCAGGCCCGCCCCCGCCCGCACAGTCCAGCGGCCAGACGCTGTCCTGCCCCCAGGTGGTGAGCGGGTTCCCGAGCTCAGCCCCGCCCACGGGGCGCCCAGGGGCGGGGTTCCAGGCGGCCCCGCCCTCGGGCCGTGTCCTGTCGGGGCGGGGGCGTGTCCTGTCGGGGCGGGGGCGTGTCCTGTCGGGGCGGCCCGGGCGCTCAGACCAGCGCGGGCCGGCCGCTGCCGTAGCGGGCGCTCTCGGTGCGGTAGGCCAGCGGCACGCTGTGGATGCGGGGCACGGGGCTCCGGTGCGGGGCCCGCCAGGCCAGCCCCGGCGGGAGGAAGGGGTCCAGCCGGCGCAGCGGGTGCAGCGGGAGGCCGTAGGACTCCCGCGCCAGGGACAGCGCCCCGCGGTGCGGCACCGCCGGCGCCACCGGGAGCGCGCGCGGCACGCGGGTCTGCGGCGGCGGCGGCGGCCGCCAGGAGCGCGGGCAGCACTGCTTCTGGGGGTCACGTTCCAAGGGTGGCAACTCCTTCCTGTCGGGGGGAGCAGGGTGGGGACGAGGCTCAGGGCTCAGAGCCGCCTCGGGTTTTGGGGAGAGGAAATGGGGTCGGGGACTCCTAGCCTGGATTCCTGGGTCCTCCGGGTACTTGGACGCCTGCAGTCCGGGGTTTTCCCGCCCTGGGGCAGTATCTGGGGACTCAACCGTCAAATGACCCGCCCCGGGTCCTCAGGCCCCGGCTCTCCCTCCGCAGGCTGCTGTTCCTGAATGGACCCTGGGCGCCAGGGCAGCGGCTGAGGTCTGAGCGCCCGGGTCTAAGTCAGGGGGGCCATACCCGGGGTCCGGGCGGCCCAGCAGCCGGGATGGGAGGGGGCCGGGTCTAAGTCGGGGGGGCCATACCCGGGGTCCGGGCGGCCCAGCAGCCGGGATGGGGGCGGGTGCAGGGGCGGCGCAGGGCGGACTCCCTCACCTGGAGAAGGCGCGGAAGTCGGCGGCGGCGGTGGGCAGGTAGAGCTGGAAGTGGTCCAGGATGCCCTGGTTGGAGACCGCCAGAGGCCGGCCGGCCAGCTCCGGGCTCTGCCTCCAGGGAATGAGGGTCTGAGGAGGCACAGGCGGGAGGAGTGGCCAAGGAAGCGGCTTGACGTCGCTCCTGAAGCCTCGGGTCCCAGACTGAGCACTCCTCTTCCTCCGGACTCAGCAGCCTCTCTTCTCCGGCCCCGGCCCCACACCCGCCCCCAGAGTCAGAGCCCTCCCTTCCTGGCCCGTCGCATGCCAGCGCTCCTTGGCGCCGCTCCCCAAACCAGAAACTCCAAGACCCAACCGCTCTTTGCTCACCGCCAACAGGAAGGCCGGTCCCAGCCTCAAACCTCCCTGTCCTGCCGCTGGAGTTAAGCAGGAGCTCAGCCAGCAATTCCCCAACCTCGGCCCCCGACTCCCCGCCCCCCTTCTGGCTCCGGCTCCGGCTCCCACCTATTCAGACCCGTCCCCTAGCACAGACCTCTTCCTGGCTCTCTTCTAAGCCTCAAAACCACCTACTACCCCAACGGCCCGGCTCAGGGGTGGAGCATCCACCTGTGAACCGGGAGGCCACGGTTCGATTCCCCGGTCAGGCCTGGTTTGGGGCTCGATCCCCCGTGGGGGCGGGGGGGTGTGCAGGAGGCAGCCAGTCAGTGATTCTCATCATTGATGTTTCTACTCTCTCTCCCTTCCTCTCTGAAATCAATAAAAACAGCTGAAACCGGTTTGGCTCAGTGGATAGAGCATCAGCCTGTGGACTGAAAGGTCCCGGGTTCAATTCCGGTCAAGGGCATGTACCTTGGTTGCGGGCACATCCCCAGTAGGGGGGGTGCAGGAGGCAGCTGATCGATGTTTCTAACTCTCTATCCCTCTCCCTTCCTCTCTGTAAAAAGTCAATAAACTAGATATTTTCTAAAAAGTCCAAGCCCCTTCCCTAGTCTTTGTACTCTTCTCAGGCCTCCCTTTTAGCCACGCCCCCTGATTAAAAAATCCCTGCTGGCCCCGCCCAGGGCCCCATCCGCTACCTGGGAGACGCCCGCGAAGTGGTGGTCGGCGAAGCGCAGGGGCCGCGCGCGCAGGCGCAGGTCGGGCCACGCGAAGTGCGCCTGGGCCTCGCTGCGCTGGTGCCGGGTGGTCAGCGGGAGGCACCAGCCCTGGCGGCTGAGCTGCGGGGAGACGATCCGGGGGCCCAGCCTGAGGGTGGGCGGGGCGGCACTGCAGCCCTCGACCCCGCGGACCTCGGCACCCTGGAACCTTACCTTTTCCCCCAAATCCTTCATCCCCACGCTCCGCTCCAGGGCCTTGGGCTTCGGCACCTTGGGCTGCGAGTAGGGCCCGCCGTGGGTCTTGAGCACCCCGTGGGCCGAGCCAGAGGTGGTCTCCCAGCGGCTGATGACCTCGTCGAAATCCCAGATGTGCAAGTCCGGCTTCGCGAGCGGGGGCAGGGGATCCGCCGCCGTGGACTGGGTGCAAGGCGCGGGGCGTCAGCTTGAAAAACACTCAGGAGTCCGGCCCGCCAGCCAGTCCTGATCTCTCCCAGGCGGTCCCCAGCGCTTCCCGCCCTCCGGCCCTTCCCTTCATCGGCCAGACCCAGGCCTCCGAGACCCTCCTCCTTCAGTCAGGAGTCCAGGCCTCCATTCATTCCCCTTCGCTTCCTGCAGGTGTCTGGGGCCCCGCAGGGAGTGGGGGCTGGACGTCCAGGCCCCTCACCTGCCGCGTGGGCGGGCGGAAGGGCACGGACGGGATGATGTGGTGGGCGACGCCGCTGCTGGTGAGATGCCAGTCGGGCCAGGACCCTGGGTCCTCGGTCCCAGAGATGGGGGGCCAGAGCGGGCCAGAGCGCAGAGCTAGGAGCTGACCGGCCATGGTCCCTCCTCCCCCGCCCTGCGTCCGGGCCGGAGGCTTGTTGTGGCTGTTGCCATAGGGACAGAACCCTCCCTCGCTGAATCCAGCCAATGGGGGGCCTGCGGGCTGGGGATGGGGAGCGGGAAGAAGGGGTCTAGGCACAGGGGCGTGGGCTTGGACAGAGCCGGGCAGAGACCCCAAGAGGGGCACAGAGCCTCAGAGAAGGTGGGGGCATGGGAGGAGGCCCAGACAGACAGGAGGGCAGAAGGGGAGGGAGAAGCTCAGTGTTAGAGTTTTAGAGACTGCGACCCCCTGGGCAGGGGGAGACAAACTCACAGAGGGGACAGCAGCGAGGGGGGCAGAAACCTGGGGGGAGGGGGCAGAGGTTCCCGAAAGGGGTGACAGAGACTCTGTAGGGGAGGAGGATAGACTACCCAGCTCATCAGGAAATCCATGGGGAACACCCCCATTCCTATAGGGATCCGGCCCTGCGGACTGCCTGCTCCCTCAGCCGGGCTGGTGGGGGGAGGGGAAGGGGAATTGATGCCGGCTGTCCCTCCTTCCCTGTGTGTGCGGAGTCAGCCTCTGTCCCCCGCCTTTGATTGGGCTGAAAACGTCCACCTGGGAACGGGGGGGGGGGGGGGGGGGGGGGGGGCAGAGGGAGGGACCCGCAGAGAAACGCACAGGAAAAGACTCCCCCAAAAAGGGGGTTGGCAGTGGTGCAGGAAGGGCTTTGATGAATGAGAAAGACGCGAAAGAATGAGTGAGAGACGGTGACTAAGAAACAGAGGCAGAGCCGAATCTGGTTTGGCTCAGTGGATAGAGCGTCAGCCTGTGGACTGAAAGGTCCCGGGTTCGATTCCGGTCAAGGGCATGTACCTTGGTTGCGGGCACGTCCCCAGAAACAGATCAATGTTTCTCATGGATGTTTCTAGCTCTCTATCCCTCTCCCTCTCTGTAAAAAATCAATAAAAAATAAATAAATGGAGAGAGAAGGTAGGGGAGGGTGGGGGCAAAGGGGAGATATCAACCAAAGGACTTGTGTGCATGCATGTAAGCCTAACCAGAGGTCATGGACAACAGGGGGTGGGCATCCATGGGGAGGGGCTTGGGGTGGGAATGGGGGGATGAGGACAATTATGTGACACCATAATCAACAAATAAAATTAAAAATAAATAGATAAAGAAATGGTTTGGGTTGTAGCTAAAAGGGAGGCCTGAGGAGAGGACAGACTGGGGAAGGGGCTTGAGCATTTTGAGGTGGGGCCAGCAGGAGGAGGGGACTGAGGAGCAGCAATCCCAGCTCTCGGAGTTGGTAACAGGAGTGGAGTGGCGATTCGTGAAGGATGTGGGGTCTGCCCCTGACTTCCTTGTCACCGCCTCACTGTAATCCTCGGTAGAGGATATATATATATTTTTTCCCATTGATTTTCAGAGAGGGAAAGACAGAGAGAAACACGTCGATGGATTGCCTCCTGCAAGAGTCCTGACCAGGGCCTGGGGCCCGTGCCCTTGGCTGGAATGGAACCCAGGACCCTTCGTCCGCAGGCCGATGCTCTATCCACTGAGCTACATTGGCTAGGGCCTCACTGCCTCACTTTTGGTCTATCAATGTCCATGCCGAAACTGGTTTGGCTCAGTGGTAGAGCATCGGCCTGCGGACTGAAAGGTCCCAGGTTCGATTCCGGTCAAGGGCATGTACACTGGTTGCAGGCACATCCCCGGTGGGGGTGTGCAAGAGGCAGCTGGTCGATGTTGTTTCTCTCTCATTGACGTTTCTAGCTCTCTATCTCTCTCCCTTCCTCTCTGTAAAAAAATCAATAAGATGTTTTTAAAAAATAATAAAAAATAAATAAAGGTCTATCAGTGTCTAAATGACCCCTGATCCCCCACAGTGGTCAGGCCAATGGTCAGAACCCCATGCTTTACTCAAACTGGACAGTCTTAGAGTTTATTCCTTTCTCAGCGGGAATAAAAGCTGAGACGGAGAAAGGTGGTAGAAACCTGATGCCAAGTCCCCCCCAGGGCTGAATTCTCTAGCATCCTGACCTCCTATCACTCATCCTTGTGTTCTGACTGTGATGGGTAGGTCAAAACGGGACATTCTTGCCCTAGCCAGCTTAGCTCAGTGGATAGAGCATTGGCCCATGGACTGAAGGGTCCCGGGTTCGATTCTGGTCGAGGCATGTGCCTCACTGGCAGGCTCAATCCCAATGTGGGAGGCGACCAATCTATGTGTCTCTCTCACATCAATGTTTTCTCTGTGTCTCTCCCTCTCCACTCGCTCTGAAAACGAATGGGGAAAATATCTTTGAGTGAGGATTAACAAAAAACAAACAAAACACAGAGCCTTCTTGCCCCATCTGACCTAGCAAACCGTCCATTCGAGTCCTCGCTCCCAGCTAGTTGCTTACATGTTCCAGTTTTCATGCTCTGCCACCCACTTCTTTTTTTTTTTTTAAGTATTTTTAAAAAATATATTTTATTGATTTTTTACAGAGAGGAGGAGAGAGAGGTAGAGAGCTAGAAACGTCGATGAGAGAGAAACATCGACCAGCTGCCTCTTGCACACCCCCATCGGGGATGTGCCTGCAACCAATGTAAATGTCCTTGACCGGAATCGAACCTGGGACCTTTCAGTCCTCAGACTGAGCCAAACCGATTTTGGCGCTGCCACCCGAAATCTTGATATATTTCCCCCTTTTCACTCTCCCCATAATGAGCAAGGTAATGTCCTCTGAGAGCATACAGCAGCAACTTAGAAGCTGAAGGCCTCCAATGCTCACATCCACCAGAGTTGATCTGACAAGTTGTGTATTAGAGCTCTTAAACAGTAGACATTCAGAAAACATAGGCTATCATCATCATCATCATCCGCCGCCGTGGCGTTCACAGAACTCCTATTCATCCTTCAAAACCCCACCCATTTTCCCCACCTGTCTTGTACCGATTGAGCTGACTTTGTGACGACTTCACAAGTTCCCACAACAGAGGCCCAGAGCAGCCAGGCCCCCCCTGAGGTCCCTCTCGGCCTCCAGCTCTTCTCTCCTCTGCTTGCCCAGGTCCTTCCCGCGCAGAGCAGGCCTCAGGCCCGGCCGGTCCGGCTGAGGAGCGTGCAGACGCAGGCAGTGTCGATGCGAATCCAGCGCCAGCCCACGCGGCCCTGGGCGTCCGTGGTCAGCGCCCGCACGTAGGACTGCTTGGCCTTGCACTCGGACACCCAGTGCCTCCGGTCCACGCCCCGGCAGCCGCCGCCGCCCGCGCCGGGGCCCTCTTCCCCGGCGCTGTCGGCCTTGCAGCGGGTCTCAAAGAAGTACTGGCGCAGGGGGCTGCCGCCGGCCGCGGGCACCTCGCCCAGCACCTCCACCTCCCGCCCGCGCAGGTCCACGGCCGTCCGCCGGTCCGTCACCCAGCTGCTGACCGCGTCGCACACGGCCAGCTCCCCGCGGCGGCTGGCCGGCGCCGTCTCGCTCACGCCTCGCCGGCTGCGGTTGGCGGGGCCGCCCGCCGGCTCCCCGAAGGCCCCGGTCTCCAGCAGGAAGAGCAGCGGGGGGCCCGCGGGGGCGCCCCGGGACAGCACCACGCGCGGGGACAGGAGGTCCCACTCGGGGCCTGGAAACGGGGGCAGCGGAGAGGGCGGGGGGTGGGGTCCCACGGGGACGCTGGGGAGGAGGCAGAGGAGGAGGAGGATGGGGAGGCACCGTGCAGGGTGGGGCAGCATCTCGCAGGGCACCTGAGGAGGAAGAGAGCTGGGGTTAGAGAAGAGGGGAGTCATGTAGGGGGGACCCTAGGGAGGCCCTTGTTCTAGAACCTTGGGGAACCCATATTCTAGGATTGAATAATGCCCAACTTCCAGATTATCCTACTATTATCTATCTACATATATAAAGGTAAGCATCCCTTCCATCATTCAACCAGTAGATATGATGTGCACTGACCACCAGGGGGCAGACAGTCAACACACAGGCATGGAAACATGGGACAGACTGATGAATCTCAGAGGGAAGGGGGAAGGGGAGGACAGGGAGAGATGAACCAAGCTGAAACCGGTTTGGCTCAATGGATAGAGCATCAGCCTGCGGACTGAAAGGTCCCGGGTTCGATTCCAGTCAAGGGCATGTACCTTGGTTGCAGGCACATCCTCAGTAGGGGGTATGCAAGAGGCAGCTGGTTGATGATTCTCTCATCGATGTTTCTAACTCTCTATCCCTCTCTCTTCCTCTCTGTGGAAAATCAATAAAATATATATATATTTTTTTTTAAAGGAAGAGATTAACCAAAGATCTTATATGCATGCTAGAGGCCAGGTGCATGAATCCGTGCAGGTGGGGTCCCTCGGCCTGGCCTGCAGGGACCAGGCTGTAACTGGCTCTCCCACATCCCCAAGGGGTCCTGGGTGGCAAGAGGGCGCAGGCCAAGCCCAGGGCCCCCACCAATGCACAGGGCCTCTAGCGACTAATAATGGCCAACAATTGGGGACATACCGGCTCAGAGAGGTTAGTAACTTGGGCCAGGTCACACAGCCAGCAAATGCCAGAGGTGAAACGGGAACCCTGTCTGAGCACCCCCTACTCGGCCATACTGCCTCTGCAACCCCCAGAAACCCTAAGTCCTACAGCCTGGAGGAGGTTTGAGGTCCCAAACTTTGAGAAAGGCCAGCTCTGGAATCCTGGCGAGATCCAACTTCAGCTCGAAGCTCCACGAAGAAGGCAAGAAAGTCAGTTGGGCCTCAGTTTCCCTGCCTGCGCCCCTGATCTGGGGCTGGGAGCTGCAGGCGAAGCTGTGGCCACCGCCTTTCCCGCACCACATCCTGGAGGCCTGCGATTCCCGGAAGGGCGAGGTGGGGAGGACCAGGGTGGGTACCGGACCTGTCAGCACCTCCTCCGCCTCCGAGCTCCCGGGCTGGGGGCCCCCAGGCTCCAGGGGGCCCCTGTGGGGGACGCAGGGCGCCCCCTCCTTCCTGACATCTCAGGAGCGGGAAGGGGGCAACCACCTAGAGGAAGAGGGGAACAGGCATGTCAGACGGGGGGGGGGGGCTGAATCCCTGGGTAGGGTTTGGGGGTGAGGGTGGGGTATTGGAATGGGGGGGTAAGGACAAATCTGTGATACCTTAATTAATAAAGAAAAATTTTTTTAAGTGTAGGGTACCGAAACCGGTTTGGCTCAGTGGATAGAGCGTCGGCCTGCGAACTGAGAAGTCCCAGGTTCGATTCCGGCCAAGGGCTTGTACCTTGGTTGCGGGCACATCCCCAGTGGGGGGTGTGCAGGAGGCAGCTGATCAATGATTCTCTCTCATCGATGTTTCTAACTTTCTCTCCCTCTCCCTTCCTCTCTGTAAAAAATCAATAAAACATATATTTTTAAAAGTGTAGGGTACCCCACAGCCAAGCCACGCCCCCCTTGCCAGAGGCCCCTGGCCGGCCCAGGTGACGGCTCCTGGCCCGGATGGGAAGCAGATGGGGGGCGGGGATGGGGGAGAGGGGACCGCAGAGGCTGGAAAAGATTACATCCTCCTCGGCCCATCCATCTCCCGGACAGACAGGCAGGCTGGGGCGGGGCCGGGCCGGACCCCGGGGCACCGGGGGCGCTCACTCAGAGCCCGGGTCCCCCAGGCCGCCGCCTGGAATGTTCCCCGCGCGCACGGGACAGGCCGGGGCCCGCCCGCGCCTCCCGCCGCGCATACCTGGGCGGCTGCCGCCCGGCTGCGGGGAGCCGGGGGGAGAGGGGGTTCGGGGGGGAGCTGGGGGGAGAGGGGCGCATGCTGATCGGCCAGGACCCGCGGTCCAGGCCCCCCGTCCCTCCTCCCCCGGGACCCAGGGGTCCAGGCCCCCAGCCCCTCCTCCCCGGACCCTGAAGTTCTGGGGTTCGAGCCCCGCCCCCCAGGTTCTCCGCAGAAGCTTCAGGCTGGGGGTCCGGGCTCCGGAGACCCCCCTGGGGGCGCCCCCACGGGGAGGGGGTCACCGGTTGTTCCTCGGGGACTCTGCTCCTGCCTCAGTTTCCTCCGCCAGCCCCGCCCCCGGCCCCGCCCCGCCCCTCCCTACCCGGGGGCAGGGCGCCCGGGCGCGGGACCCGGAGGAGGCGCGGAGCTCTTACCTGGGCGCCCTGCTCCGGCTGCCGGCGGGCTCCGCGCCGCGCACCGAGGCTCCCAGGGCCCGGGTCGGGGCGGGGGCGGGGCGGCGCCGACGGCGGAGGAGGGGCCGGGGGAGCCCGCCTTCCGCGCGCGGGCCGGGACCTCGGGAGCCCAGCCTGGCGAGCTCAGCCCTCCGCCCGCCTGGGTCTCAGGAGGCCAGGCGCCAGCCCCCGCCTCCTCCCGCAGACCCTGGAGTGGGACCCCCAGTCCCTCCTCCCTCAGACCCAGGAGTGGGACCCCCAGCCCCCGCCTCCCGCAGACCCAGGAGTGGGACCCCCAGTCCCTCCTCCCTCAGACCCAGGAGTGGGACCCCCAGCCCCCGCCTCCCGCAGACCCAGGAGTGGGACCCCAGCCCCCGCCTCCCGCAGACCCAGGAGTGGGACCCCAGCCCCCGCCTCCCGCAGACCTTGGAGTGGGGACCCCCGCCCCTCCTCCCTCAGACCCAGGGGTCCAGGCCCCCAGCCCTCCTCCCTCAGACCCAGGTCCTCCTCTCTCAGACCCAGGGCTGGGGGACCCCCAGCCTCCTCCTCCCTCAGGCCAGGAGTCTGGCTCCCCAGACCCCTCCTCCTCCCTCAGACCCAGGAGTCTGGCTTCCCAGCCCCTCCTCCCGCAGACCCAGGAATGGGGACCCCAGCCCCTCCTCCCTCAGACCCAGGAATGGGGACCCCAGCCCCTCCTCCCTCAGACCCAGGGCTGGGGGACCCCCAGCCCCTCCTCCCTCAGACCCAGGAGTCTGGCTTCCCAGCCCCTCCTCCCTCAGACCCAGGAATGGGGACCCCAGCCCCTCCTCCCGCAGACCCAGGAATGGGGACCCCAGCCCCTCCTCCCGCAGACCAGGAGTCTGGGCCCGAGATTCCTTCGCATTCTTCAGCCAGCGAAGTGTCAATCCCCAGGCAGATTCCCACCCTCTGCTCCCATCCCCACGCTCCCAGGAGCTCCCGGCCAGACATTAACCAGCTGGGCCTGGGCAGCGATAAGGCCCCGGGCCAGGGGGGGACAGTGGATGTGGGGGGCTCTCCCACAGAGCCCTCCTCTCCCCTGGAATTTCCTGGCTGGGCACTGGGGAGAGGGTCTTGTCCTGAGCTCAGAGGAGAGAAGTTGAAGGTGTTACAGGCCTGGGAGAGAGGTTTGGTTTGGGGGCACAATGACCTTAGAGAAAGAAGGAAAGTGAAGGGAGACTGGGGGCGGGGGGAGGCACGGAAAAGGGGAAGAGTCCCAGAGAAAGAGGGGGGACAGAGGCCCAGAGAGAGAGCGAGCCCCTGAGCGGGGGGAAGACGGGAGTTGGAGTCCAGGACAGCCCGGCGGCCGGGCCCTCACCCCTCTGCAGGGTTGTTTTCAGGGGAAAGCTGACACTTGTCTGGGGGGGAGGGGGCATCCCATACCTCTCCCTCAGCCTAAATATAGCATGGCAAGGTGGCAGGAAGGGTGTCCCCGCGCTGGGTGTTCCCCTCGCCTCTTCCCCATCGCTCAGAGCCAGGGCGGCATGGCAGGCGGCGGCGCAGTTGTTTATTGGGGTGGGGGAGGGGCGCCCCCAGGCTCTGAGTGTCCCCTCCCTGACTCACCACACCCTTCCCCACCCCAGCACCCAGCGCGGGCCAGGCCTGTCAGAGGGCCCCCACGGAACCCCGGGGAGAGCAACTGAGGAACTAGCAGAGGAGGAAGTGGCAAAAGTCTCTGTCCCCCCACTGTCCGTGTCTCAGGTGCCCTCTCTCTCCGGCTCCTGTCTCCCTCTCTCTGGGTCTCTGTCCTCCCCCTGGCCTCCGACCCCCCTCCCAGGCCACTGCCTTCCTCTCCCCAGCGGCCGCTCCCCGTGGGTGCCACTCTCAGCCTGTCTCCGTCCCCCTCTGCAGGTCTCGGTTCCTCTGGGCCTGTGCCTCCTCCTCCTCCTCTTCGGGTCTCTGTGCTAACTCTGCGCCTGCCCCCGCGATGCTGTCCGTGTCTGCCACCGCGAGGAGGCCTGTCTTTTCTGTCTCCAGGTGTGCCTCTCTCTCCCTCGCAGAGAGAAGTGACAGCCTACGGGTTATGTTATTTCCGACCTTTATCAAACTCTTCCCACCCTCTGTACCCGCTGCCATCTCTCTGTATAAGGAGGTAGGTGGGTCGCCCTGGCTGGTGTGGCTCAGTGGATAGAGCCTCGGACCCTGGCCTGTGGCCTGAAGGGTCTCGGCTTCGAGTCCGGTCAAAAGCACATACCTCGGTTGCAGGCTTGATCGCTGGCCCTGGTCGGAACTTGTACAGGGGGGCAAGCAATGGATGTGTCTCTCTCACATCGATGTTTCTCTCTCTCTCTGTCTCTCTCCCTTCCTTCCACTCTCTCTGAAACTCAATGGGGAAAAAAAATAAAAAATGAACAAAAAATAAATAAAAACCAAGGGAAAAATAGGGTGATGACTCACAACAAAAAGGTAGTGGGGTGAAATCAGGGGTTCCAAACTGAGTCTCTCAGCTGCATTCTGAGCTGTCAAAGGGGCTTCATAAAAGCTGTGTTCCTTGCCCTGGCTGGTTTGGCTCAGTAGCTGGAGCACAGGCCTGCGGCCTGAGGGGTCCCAGGTTCGAGTCCGGTCAAGGGCACATGCCCTGGTTTTCAGGCTCTGTCTCCAGTGGGGGGCGTGCAGGAGGCAGCCAATCAATGATGGTTCTCTCTCATCATTGATGTTTCTGTCTCTCTTTCTCCCTTCCTCTCTGAAATCAATAAAACTTTCATTTTAATAAAAGAAAAAAGAGGTGCACCGAAATCAGTTTGTCTCGGTGGATAGAGCGTCAGTCTGAGGCCTGAAGGATGCCAGGTTTGACTCCGGTCAAGGGCATGTACCTTGGTTGCGGGCACATCCCCAGTAGGTGTGCAAGAGGCAGCTGTTCGATGTGTCTCTCTGATCGATGTTTCTAACTCTCTAACCCTCTCCCTTCCTCTCTGTAAAAAAACAAAAAAAATACATATTTTTTAAAGAGGTGTGTTCCCCTCAAACCAGTTCCCCTCTGATGCGTCACTCTGCTGCCTCTAAGGTTTCATTTGACAAAAAAAAAGGGGGGGGGGTTATATTATAGTTAAAAATAACAATAACAACAACCACACTCTGCAAATCACTGGATGGGTTTTAATGAGTTAATATGGGTTAAGTGCTTTGAATGATGCCTGGTGCATAGGAAGCCCTATATGTGTTAGTGATTCAACCCTCCTCCTCCTCCCCCTCCTCTCCTCCTCCTCCTCCTCCTCCTCCTCCCCCTCCTTCTCCCCTCCCTCTCCTCCTCCTCCTCCTCCATCTCAAAGTGCCCTTTAAGATGGAAAGACCTCTAAAGTGTTTGGCCTCGTGGCCTTGGGTGACACGCTCCGCTCTGAGCCTCAGTTTCCTGTCTGTGAGGCTGTCCGGGCGCGGGAGGTCCGGGGCGCCCCAGCAGGCTGCCACGGCGCTGGCCCCGGCGGTGACGGCGCCTGACCTTGGGGCGCTCTCAGGCCCTGAGCCGCTGGCCGCTCCCGGCTTTGCCTGCCGGCCTTCCTGGGCCGCGGGGAGATGGCATGGGGCGCCCCCACGTGGGACTCTCCTCTCCTTCAGGCTCAGGGGCCCTGCCTTGGCCCTCTTTGGTCTCTCTCTCTCTGGGGTACTCCCGGTGTCTGTCCCTCTCTCTCTCTGGGTGCCTGACACCCCGCCGTGCTCTCCACCCCCCACTCTTGGTCTCTGCCTGCCTCTCCTGTGGATCGTGTCCTCCCTCCCCCTTCCCTGGGTCCTGGTCTCTGAGCGTCTGTTCCTCTCTCTTTGTGTCTTCATCTCCTCTTCTCTGGTTTCTCTTTCTCGGAGCCTCTGTCCTTCCCCAGGTCTCTGTCCCCCCGTCCCCCACCGTGTAGGGACAGAGTATAGTGACCCCCCCTCGCCCCTTCCCCTGGTGGTTCTGATGTCCATGTCCGGAAGCAGCACTGCGGGCGAGGACAGACAGAAAGGGGGTTTCGGTGAAGCCGGTGTGGGGTGGACGGAGGGAGTGTCCGGCTCAGTGTGTCTCCCCGAGGCCACAGCGCATGTTCGCTCCCTGAGGCAGGGTCCCTCCTCGGTGCCCGGGTCCTCCGTGTCACCACGGAACCCTAACCCACTCCACAGGGCCCCGCGGAGTCCACCCGCACGGCCCGGCTCAGCCCACGGCCCTGCCGCACTCACAGCGCCACGTCCGTGTAACGCAGCTCGACGTGTGGCCGAGGCCTGGTCCTGGAGGCTCCCGTGACCACACGGGCCCATGTGGCCCAGCTCCCGTGGAGCCCCCGCCGCCCCGGCCACGCACACACACCCCTCCACACGTTCGGGAGACTCCCACAGTCCCCGTCCCAGCCCGGCGTCACCTCGCATGACCTAGAAAGCTCACATTCCATCACTTGACTCTTCTCCATGACTCACAAGTTCGCAGGACCTAAAATAACATCCACCCAGCGGGACGCAACGCCGGCCCGCGCCCGCCACGTCTCAGTGCCACCCCGCCACGAGGGGACACGCCTGCCACGGGGGACCACATGGCCGGGGGGCCCTGAAACCACAGGACCCCCCACAAGGCGGTTGTCAAGACTCACCCGGACTCACCGCCCAACCCAACCCAACCCAACCCAACCCAACCCAGCCCAACCCGGAACCACGGCACTCACACAGCGATACGGCCGGATGGATCTCAGCAGCAGCCCGAGGGGCTCCGCGGCCTGGCAGGAACCAGTGCAGGTCAAACCAGTGCACCCCGCCCCCCAGCTCAGCTCAGGGTCACCCCTTTCCACTCACTGCCGCCTAAGGAGGCACCTACAGGAGAACCAGCCCACAGGCGAGAGCCGAGAGGCTCAGTGTCCTTCAACTCGTTACCACTTAGCCCAGTTCTTCCCAGACCCAACCCCTCCCTCCTCCTCCCTCCTCCCCTCCCTCCCCCTCCCTCCCTCCCTCGGAGGAGATGTGAGGTCCTGCGGGCGCCCACGGTCCCTCACACTTCGGTGACCATGTGCTTCCCGGGGGGCGGCCAGAGCGGAGGCGACAGCTCGGGCACCTCCCCGTCCACCAAGCCCCCGTTGGCCTTGCCCTCCAGCGGGCCACAGGGCTGCGTGTCCACGTGGCTGTACATGCCCGCCTCCTCGCCCTCCGTCTCCCGGTGGTAAAAGTAGCTGAAGTTGGACACGATGACGGGCACGGGCAGGGAGATG